GAGCGGGGCCAGCTGCAGCCCCCGGGGGCGGGAGGCCCGGACTGCGGTCCCGGGCCGCTGGCGACAGCCGGACAAGGCTCCGTGAGTCCGCCTCTGCCCCTGCCCGGCGCTGCGCTCTCCGCGGCCCGTGTTTGGAGTGTATTCCTTCAAATGAGTCTTCACCGGCGGCCCCTGGGGATAGCCCATCCGTCACCCCATCCGTCAGACCCTCTGTCTCCCAGTAGCGTTTTCATGGACCTCTTGTCCTCCTTCCGCCACTGCGAAAAGCCCAGCAGTATTCGAAGTGTTTGACGCAGCTGCCCCGATCTTCAGGTGAGGAGAGCCCTGGGCCAGGATCCAGGGGCCTGGGTTTTAGTCCCTGATCTGCCGCAGACGCTGGCGAGGCCCCAGCAGGCCTCTCCCACACTTCCAGCCCGTCCCCTCAGGCGTCAAGCGAGGGACAGGCTTGACAGGCAGGGCTCCCTTCTGCTCCACCGTCTTCTGATTTAGGGGGCTCTCAAGGAGGAGGGGGAAGCCGGACTCCCATGAGCTCACCAGTGCAGCCTGGAGGTCCTCGCGTGTGCACACGCCACGGACACGAGGCTTTCTGTAGCTTTGCACTCTCTTCCGGAGTTACCATAGCCTTCCAAAAGGCTTCTTCCAATTTGAGAAAAGCCTCATTCTGATCTGGAAAACTTGGGAAACGATGACCAGTTTGGTTAACCACGTCACTGAAAATGAGACTGAGTTAAAACTGCATTTTTTAAAATAGTTTTGTTTTGGTTTCTTTTGAGTTGGAGTCTCACTCTGTCACCCAGACTGGAGTGCAGCGGCCGCTCCCGGCCACCGCAGCCTCCACCTGCTGGGCTCCAGTGATCCTTCCGCCTCAGCCTTCCAAGTAGCTGGAGCTACAGTCGCGCGCTACCACATCCGGCTAATTTTTGATTTATTGTAGAGATGAGGCCTCGCCAAGTTGCCCAGGCGGGTCTCAAACCTGCGGGCTCAGGCCATCCACTCACCTCAGCCTCCCAAAGGTGCGGGATTACAGGCTGAGCCACCGAGCTCGGCTTAAAATAGTTTTTTATGTTTTTGAGTTGGAGTCTGACTGTCGCCCAGGCTGGAGTGCAGTGGCATGCTTACGGCCACCACGGCCTCGACCTGCTGGGCTCAGCGATCCTTCCACCTCAGCCTTCCAAGTAGCTGGAACTACAGGCATGCACCATCACACCTGGCTAACTTTCTTGATTTATTGTAGAGATGAGGTCTTGCCAGGTTGCCCAGGCTGGTCTCGAACCCATGGGCTCAGGCAATCCTCTCACCTCAGCCTCCTAAAGTACTGGGATTATAGGCATGAGTCACCATGCCCAGCCAAAACTGTGTTTTGTTGTTGTTGTTTTTTTAAAATCTATCTTTAGATGAGTTCCTGATGGTACACACACTTGGAGAGCGTACACAGGCTGAAATTGCAGTGTGAGAGACACGCCTCCCACTTGGCGCGCACCCTTAAACACACCTCTGTGCAGCCTAAATCAGATATTTTTATGAGCGATGACAGGTTCTCACCAGCTCCCTGTTCCTAATGACCCAGAGAGCCAGGGTCCCTAAAAGGACTTTGCCACAAAGTAGCGTCACTGTGTTCAACCTGGAAGCATTGATTTAGTGAGCAAAACGGCAGCATATGTTCCCCTCCAGAGGCAAGCGGTGCTTCCTTCCTGGTTCCGAACCTCCGGCTCCTTTCTCCCTCTCTTGGAATTCCTGCTTCTCTCCTTTCTGCTCCTCCTCCACCCTGAATCGGATCTCATCAAAGCGCCCCACGTGAACCCCAAGCGTGGTTCCTCTGGCCATGATGGGGGGTGGGTTTCCTCCTCAGCCTGCTGGTTCTTCAGGCAAAGTCCTCGGCCAGTGACACTTCAGAACGGCATCCCCCCAACATCAGAAACTCACTGTGATTCCAAAAACGTTTGTGAGTCCTGGGCCTCCGCCCCCCAAACGGTTCCAGCCTCCCCCAAACCTCCTTTGAAGGAACGTACCGAGCAGTGTCCCAGGAGACAGTTGTTTGTCTTTTGGTTTCCGCATATTATTACCTGTCGGAAATATGTTTTATATATCCTGTTATTTTCACCTTATATTTTGTATTGTTGACAGAGCCTGTTTTGTTCCCTCCAAGAAGTCTTACTGTAAAATCACTTATAAGATATGATTAATCTTTATGCTATGACTGTATATGCCATTTGGTAATGAATCGTAAATTGTTGATCTGATCGACTGGTGCATAGTCCAGAATGTGTATTAATAATCTTGTAAAACAGTATCACAGACATTAAGCTAAACTGTTCCAGTTCAGATTTTGTTTTTTTTGGTTTTTTTTTTTTTTTTTTGTAAGAACTACACAGGCTTTGGAACAGTTGTAGATATTGATTTGTTGAAAATATTTAATTTAAATAAAAGTTTTTTGTACCATGACTATTCTATCCTTTGAAATATAGTTTTGCACACAAAAAAGTTTTAAAGCAAAATGTAAATATTATGCCCCGTGCTTCTTGTGGTATTGGCCACTTTTTAATTTTAAAAAGTCATCAAATTGTAATGGTGGTTTGTTTTATTTTATGTTACAGTAAAAAGATAGATCTAAATTTCACATGCAGAAACGGTGTTGTTATCCTTGATATTGAAAGAAGATCCCAATTTTTTTCTAACACCTACGTGAAGGATAACCTTCTCTTCAAGATGACTTTCACTTGTAGAGTCAAAGTAAGATTTGTCCAATTACTTGCTTAGTTAAGGCTGCCACATTTTTTCTTCTTCTTGAAATCATCTCGAAGAGTGTCTTTGAAAAACAGCCTTGAGAATGACTTGTCCTCTTTCCCGCGCGTCTGTGGATGTGTTGTTGAAACATATCAAGGCCTCTCCGAGCTCGATGGGAACGCAGCGAGGCACACGGTGCAGCCATTAAAGGACGCAACGTCTCGCGAGGCTGAGGATTCATATCTCCCCCCGAAAAGCGTCTGGAAAGGTCTGAGGATTACTCAGGCCCCGTGCAGGTCACCTCTGTCTGGCTTCGATCCAGGGGGAAGCAGTTGTAACTTGCTTCAGGGAGGCCGTGTGTTTTCCCAGGCCCTCCGGGCCAAGGAGTGGGTCCTGGGAGGGCCCACATGGGCATACGTCCCTCAGCTTTGATCCTAATCTACAGTCATTACTTTAATAGCACTTTATAGGTGTACGGAGCTTTACAGGGAGTTTTATGGGACCTTTCTCATCCACAGCCCCAGGTGGGGCCCGTCATCCGCCCACCCCATTGCGTAGCCGGGCACACTGAGGCCTGGGGTAGGCGGCGGTGAAGGGCGGCTCGCCTTGCTTGGCAGTGGCAGCTGGGTTTCGGTGTGTTGTCAGATGCGTGTGTTGGCAACGTCAGCCGAGCTCACACTGGAGGCCTCGTGCTGCCTTCTCAGTACTTCACCCTGGCACGGAGTCCTACGTGGTCCACTTCATTCCTGCCACAGCCCAGGGGAAGACAGAAAGAACAAAGGGGAAGTCAGAGGGCCAGAGTTAGGTGGTGACACTGAAGACCTTGCTGTCCAGGCCCATCCCTGCGGCCGGCCGGCCGTGCCAGTGTGCTGTGTTACTGGCTGCCTGGAGCGCTTGTCTGGCAGTGTCTGCCCAGGACGTCGTCCTCTGTCACTGCCAAACGGGCGTGTTTCATTCCATGACACGCTCTGGGGGCAGGGGACTCATCGCTGCTTCTGAGAGGGCAGGAAGCAGCAGCCAGTGATACGGTCGCTCTTCCGTGGCAGTGACCAGGGATCTTTGAGTCTCAGCTGCCCATTCTGGTACACTGCTGCCTCCGGTGCCAAGAGCACCTCTTGTTTTGGATGAGAACCTGGCTCAGTCCCCAAGTGAGGGCCCCTCTGGCAGATCCTCTTCTTTCTAGAAGCTTCTCACACAGCCCTCCAGCCCCCAAAGTGAACCCTACTGCGACAGAAACCTGTGGGTCCCTGAAGATACCCAACTTCCCCATGCTTCTGTGCTGACCCCACCTGGGAGGCCCTCACTCCCGTCACGCCTGGGGACGCCCCACTCACTGTCCAAGCCCAGGTCAGACATGTCCAGCCCCGTCCAGCAGAGGGGCCAGTCACACTCCACCCTGAACTCCCATGGGACTTGGGAACATCTTACTGCCGGCGTTGGAACCATCCACGGGGTGTCCCCTCTCTAGCAGGGCAGGCCCAAGGAGCTGTTCAACAGATATAGGAATTAAAAAAAAACAACATCTGAGATGTCCTGTAGGTATTCTGGTTCATTTTGGTGGCAGATAAAGACCTGAACCCGCTGGGTCCCTAATTTTACCTCCCGTCTCTCTGGAAACCAAGACCTTTAGGTGTTTGTATGTGTCCTCGGGGCTCTGAGACTGGGTCTGATAACGGCCATGACTCGGCCCCTGCACCTGCTACAGGTCTCAGGAAGTGGAGGAAGTGGGTCAGGACGCAGGGAGGGAACTCCCCTCCTGCCCATGGTCGAGCAGCAGAAGATGGCCGTGGGAGGAGGATTTCTGACATGGCTCTCACC